CACAGCAAGTTAAAAACAGCATGGTAGCTATACATTATACAAGGTTTGCAGTCTATGATATCTGGTTGCAGTCACAATATAAGCACTAAGGTCCCAGCACAATCCTTTTTATGACAGTCGAGTATGATGTTACAGATGACTAATTAAAAGTGTGAAGAAAATAGTCAGCAGTTCAGCGTTGCAAGAGCAGATATCCAGTTCTATGTAAATTTCCTCAATTTAAAGAAGAAAGATGAGCAAGACAAAAACATAGCAGTCTCTAAATAGAACTTCTCCACTTTTCCGTGGGGCATCAGGGACACAAAGGAACACACACACCTATAATTGGAAGTGGGTAGGGCTAAACAATAGGCAAAGGGTTGGTTCAGAACCATAACCTCCCCTGATTTAAGATTACTGTGGCCTCTCCATTTAACTCGCTTGTGGGGAGGAGGTTAGGGAAAGGAAAGAAGGGGTACTTGGTACTATCTTTCCCTCAAACATAGATATGCTCCCTCCTTTGATTTTTCAGCGACTGTATTCGAGACAATGCAAGAAAGTTAGTCACTGGAACTTCCCTAATGTTGCTGATGCACTGCCAATAAGAGGACCTTTCATGTGCAAAACCGTTTACCCAGTGTCTTGCTGAGCAAAGAACTGCTCCAAGCTTAGTTCATACCTGCCTCAACCGCTAATCATACAGGTACCCAGGCCACTTCCTAGGATCCTAAAGCAATTGTATCCTTGCTCTGTTAGGCTCCTTTTACCCTTGATTATAGTTCCAAAAGGATATCCATTAGAGAACTATTTCTGTTGCATTTATTCAGTAACAACTATAAGTGGTCCTTGCTGTTTGGAAGGAAGAGGATGATTTTAGTTTTAGATTTACTATTGCCCTGCATGTTGTGCGGTCCTTTACACAAGTATAGAGTAAGTGTAAAATGTTATCAAGTCAGACTGATAATGTGTATTTAACTATATAAGGTGCAGGGCAATACCTAATGCAACCCAAAATGTGTTTCATTGTCACTTTTTGCTTGTAACATCACAGTCCCCTTCCTCAGCCCTTCATTTGTGATTAATCTGGACTTCAAGTGGGGTAAAACGTAAGCAGTAGAGCAGATGCTCTTTAGAAACAGATCCTGGTTTGCACAAACATTCCTAGAACATGCATAGTCTGCAGAAACTGTTCTGAAGTGAGATGTTTTCAGAACCCTTCTTTCCTTGTTCCTCCAGAAGCAGCAACAAACAGGTGTTTGCCTGCCTCTTTTTTCCTATACTGTATGTCTTCCAGTCCAGTCCAGTCCTTCCCCATCTCATTATTTGTAAATGCAGACCAGCATGTGCCCTAGCAATGTATCTTACCAGCTAGGCTGTGGGCTTGAGCCTGGACCTTACTTGACTGCTCTGCAAACTTCAGGACCTTTTACATCTTTGCTGAGAGGGAGGAGAGAAGGGGAACAGATCCACCTCATGTATTTAAGAATCTGCTGTCCCTCTATCCCCTTAAGCCTAGTACAGAGATAGTGCTGCTACTTTTTAAAAAAAAGTTACTGGACAAAATTTCACGCAGCTACAGTTTCCTTATTGGGAGGAATCCATAAAGAGGCCTGAGTTCAAGACCATCTCTGGACTCCTTGATAAATGAGCTATATGAAAGTGAGCCCTCTTTGCCCCACCCAATTAACATGGTTATGTAATGAGCCCCCATGATGTTCCATAGGCTTATTAGCAGCCCACTCCCTCAGACAGCAGTTATGTATAAATTGCAGATGTGCATACCCAGCATTCCATCCATTCTATTGCCACACTTATAAGCATATATGATAAGAATGAGAATTAAATATGTATGTGTATGTAAGTAAAGCACTTTCAGCCAGCTGACCAACAAGGGAGCAGGGAAACTGACTATCTTTTCTTAGAAGAGGGCAGAACCCCTTTGCCTCAACTCTTGTTTCTGTCTTCTATCTCTGGGGTTCCCCTCAGTGCTGCTGAACAATGCCGGGGCAGAGGGGATGCATTTCTACATGAAAATAATGTCTCTAGGCAGAAAGTGGTGTTTGGTTTCTTCCCTGTTAAAATAAACAGAACTATAGTACATTGTTCTTTGTTTCTTTTTATGTCGACATAGCTCCTAACCAGAAGTGACTAAAGTCCCATCAGGGACTCTCTGCCACTACCAAGATGTGAAGTTGGAAATTGCTCCAGCATTTGGTGAAACTGAAGGGAGTAGTGGCTGCCTCACTCTGATTGAGCTGGCCTGGTTATAGGCAGCATCAAGTTTGGGGATTGTGTTTCCATGCATAACCTGCTCCTACATCAGGGTTACTTTCCTTGATGCAATTTTGAAGAGCCTCTCACTGCTGCTTAACAATATCGGCGGGATGGAGCGGAGGGGATGCTCTTTGGCCTTCACTTGAGTGAAATGCCCTCATAACATTCCACTTGAATGGACAGGGAAGAATAAACTTCCCCAATCATCCCTGCTAAAGAAGGAGGTAAGCTGAGTTGAAAGATGGAGGAGGAGAAGAGGGGCTGGCTGGTGAGGAAGCCTGTTCTGGAACTTCCCTCAGTCCACTCAAGTCATCTCAACATTTAAAATGAAAGATATCAGCCAAGTCTTTTGTTTTTTAAATAAGAGGGAGGCCTACTGCCTGGCTTTCCCTGTAGAAGTAGGGGGAAGTTGCATGGAATACTCACCTTATCTTATTCCATTCATTGCTGCATTATTGTAAACATGGCTCTAAGGGAAAAGGAGAAAATCCTTCCTGATTTGAGTTAGCAATCAGGTCAACCTTCAGAACGTAGGCAAATTATGTTGAAACATCTATTTACATAAATTCAAAGCACAGTGGGGACAGAATAATTATACCCACCTCTCCCCCTTAAAGCTAAGAAACTGGATTCTGCTGATATTTTAAAGGACAAAGAATATCAGAGTGGACATTGCACTTATGCAAGAGGAGTCTGGATTACAGTTGCATAACTAGCTACTTTGTTACCAAATGCAGATTCACGCATGGGAAAGCTGTTCTTAGACATTAGCTAGCAGCAATAGCCTAAAAGAAGGCAGGCACTTATGCCAAAGGGGGAACAGCAGCCAAACAATCCATGCTGCTAGTTACAGGACACTGCTTTTAGGCCTGCAGCAACTGCTGTAAAGGGAACCTCTCAAGGGATCTCTAGAATATAGTCTGAACAGATGGTTTGGTTCAGGCTTCAAAGTGTTCAGTAACCATGGGATGACGGACAAGTTGCCCAGAGCAAGTGCAGCCTTACAAGCAACCCAGATGACTTATGAATGATTAAACATAGTGTTGCATAATACATACTTAGCCGGAAGCAAATTCCTATTGCAGGAGAGGGGATGAAGAAGGGGAAGGAGGTGTGGAGTGTGGGTGGGGGGGGCAGGGAGAAGAGAGAGGTGTGAGCATTCCTCCTAGCCACCTAATACTAAACAGTTTGGACTCTAAGGATGTTATATTGCAGTTAATTGACTAGTGGAGTAGTTGATGGAATTTCCATGGACTACTTGACAGGCACTTTCACATTTCTCCTTTGAAATATACTAGAGCCCCCGCTGGGAAGTCCCACTGACTCTGGGCTGCCTGCTGGTGCCTGCTTTGAAACATACAAAGAGTCCCCAGTGGGGGCTCTTGTGCATTTCAAAGCCATGGAGCCAGGGGTCAGAGGGGACTCCCCAGCTTGGGATCAACTGGGGAGTCCCAAGCTGACCCTGATCTCCACAGTGCTGCCCCTTGAAATGCCACCTTAGAGTTTCAAAGGGGCAGCTGCCACACAGCTGATCCCTGGGCTCCACAGTGCTTCAGCATTTTAAAAGGGCAGCACTGCACAGCTGAGCCACAGATCAGGTGTGCTGCAGCTGCCCCTTTGAAATTACCCTTCTCCCCCTCCCTCCACTGCTGCCTTTATCTGATAGAGGTAGCAAGGGGGTGGGAATCGACTAGTCCGGTGTTTCTCAACCAGTGGTAAGAGTACCCTTAGGGGTACTCGAGATGAGTCTGGGGGGGTACGTCAACACAACTGAAATTTGGAGAAAACTGAATTTTTGTTTTAAGTTTTACAACACTTTATTAGTTTTGTACATTTTACACCCAAACATTTCATCGCCCACCCAGCTACAATTAAGTTGTTTAAACAAATGTGTTGCAATGGTAGAAGAAAATGTGTCTGAAAACTGTAGGTACTGGGGTTACTTAATTTTTTTAAAGGGGTACTTTATAAAAAAGGTTGAGAAACACTGAACTAGTCAACTGACTAACCAATAAGCATTTGCTAGTCCTTAACATCCTTACTTGCCATAGATTCTTGCAAAGAGATATCCAAAACAATATAAGGGAGACAGATTTGGAAGACCGTTACAGGCCAAACTAAGCCCTTGTGCAACTCTGTCGATTTTGGGGACTGAAGTTGGACTGACATCTGTTTACAGGAGTGAAAGATGGGAAATTGTGGCACAGCGCCAATTCTCATACTACCTCTAGATGGCACTGCTATTTTTTTCATGGTTATGTAACTCACATTCCCTACAACATACTGTAGGCCTCTGTGCGACTACTGCAAAGTCAGACTGGGAAACAGTGTCTGAAGGTTGTGACCCTCCAATAGCTCTGGTGGCCTGTGTGAAGATGGTCTCAGAGAAGAAGCCATGTTAGTCTGTAACTTTAAAAAACAATGCGTAGTCCTGTGGCACCTTACAGACTGTTTTCCCTGCTGTACATATCTTGGATTCTGTATTTCCACTCAACTCATCTAGTGAAATGGATTTTACCCA